TTTCACGACTAGTTTTTCGTGAATACCTGTCCACTAAAATTATGAACGACACGAATAGCAACAAACAGGTGCCGACATAAATGGACTCAAACATCAACACAACCCACGAATATCTCTCCACAAAAACGCCTAAAATATACGGATTTAACAAATTTATTAAATCCGATGAAAACGTAGCGATCGCACCGATAGGGTTAGTGATGGACAGGTACTGCTCCAGGTATGCGAACATTGCCGGACACATGGCTGACAGTCCTAGACCTGCCATAATTGTCGACACCCACAACACCGTTAGATTATATTGACCCGCATATAGGGTAATAGCGGCGATGATTAGTATAGCAAAGTGATAGCCAATCATTTGCTGGGGTTTGAATCGTAGGGCCATAAGTACACTGAGCCCCCGGCCCACAGTGAACGCCGTGGCCACTGTTGAGAGTAACTGTGCCGACTCCTGGGCCGTTAGNCGTGGCACCGAATGCTAAGATAGTACATTCGGTTACTATATAAGTGGACAGCCATACGCAGAAAATGAATATGGCCCATTTGCGGGGTGAACCTTCCCTGTCAAACAGCTTTTGCTCCGATATGTCACCGGTAGCTGCCTTGGCACGGGCTATAGGTTGCGGTGGTACGTAACGCTTCCATATAAACATCGCTAGAAGTCCTACCGGCGCTACAATTGGGTTTTAAAATGTAAGTTTAGTGAAAACAGTAATTTTTCTAATTTAATTTTATAGTGTTTATTATTTTAAAAAAATTATTTATTTATTTAAGGTCAGTACCTGTTAATTAACTAGCTAAAAATTCACGACTACATTTACCGGTTATTATAAACAAAAATATTACTAAAATGTATAAATTGATGTTCAAATTACGTACTTTTATCTAGTTTATATTATAAACTTTATAGTATATACTCACACAATATCTGAATGAATCCATTGATTTGAAAGGGGATTATAAGTCCAGTCCGTCGGTCAATACTACTCTCCATAGAAACCTCTGTTTCATTAGTATAATTGCCGAGAGCTTGGCTACCGGTGCTCGACGTGTGATGTGTTTCCCCGACTAAATGACTTTTAAGTATGAGCGGAGATATTATGCACCCGACGCCGAACCCGCAGTGTAATAGCTGTAGGAATGGCGCCGACCGGTTGCCCCAGATCTCAATCATCCATACATTGCACATACAGTTCCACACACTGGCGCCCATTCCTATGACAAAGGCACACCCGTATAGGGCCCAGAGGTCAGGGGATAGGGGTGTGAGGGCTGACCCAATACTCATGAGTGCCAAGAATATAATAGCTACCAACTGACGGTTCAGGTATTCGTATAGATATCCGACTGGAAAGGTATGCAATTAGAGATTAGTGGTTTGTAAATTTATGTGCTTGATACTCAAAGTACCATAATAATTTAAAACTACGTATATACATTTAATATTATACTTACATACAGTTCCTAACATATACCCGGCCGATAAGAAAGTGGTGTAAAGCGATACATAGCGTATGGATGTGTGGAGAATAAACTTCATGTCCACCATAACGGGCCCAAACATTGTGAGTGTCATTCCCTGTCAATACAACCCCGATATAAAACTCGTAATTAATTTCACAAATAATTAATATAATATAATTCAAAAATATTTACAAATGCGATGTGTGTATAGATAAAAATGGTGGTGTAGGCATATTTATCCCAATTATGGCGGAAAGTGTCAAGTCTTGTGCACTCATTCTTCACCGGTTTCTCAGACACAGTATGTGATGACATAGTGTCCATGAAATTAGTTTAAAATAATTTATATTAAAATAAAAATACTTTTCACAAAACTTTCATATACTGTAATTTAAGAATTATTATTTGCTTTTGAGATAATTAACAACTCTTTTGAAACATATTTTTTAGTAATCTTAAGATCATATCAACTGATAAATTAAATGAAAATTAAAAATATTTAATATATTTATTTAGTTTATAAAAATATACTATTTTAATTTTAAAAATTATTTAAACATTGTACTAAATGTATTATACAAAGTATTCATGAATATTGGACTTTAAATTACTGTTGAAATAAAAGTTTCAAATGAATATATTTCAAAATAATAAGCTATTTTATACTACTTTAGTTGCAAATAAATTCAGTTAAATATATGTGTATTATATTTGAAGGTTGTTGAATTATATACCGTATTTACAAATAACTCTATTTATTTCGCAATTACAAACCGATAAATTCTTGAATAAACAATATTAAAATTAATTTGATTAAATAAACACGATAATGTTATAATTAGACACACTATTAATTCTTTGTGTTACTAATATATACAGTATTTGTGTGTAACCAGAATTAATGTGGTATTTGTTATAAGAATCTGTTGTATTTAGCAAATAATATGCTGACAATAATATTCAATTCATGAATATTAATACCTGTGTATGAAAACATGTGATCAATTAAATAATAAGTTCATCGAAATTGTTACCTAACCTTAACATTGATAATGAATGCGATAAAAATGAATTATATTTACATTACTTGTATAAAGTAATTAATGGCACATTTATTTTATAGATTAGTTATAAAGTATTTTATGAGGCTATAAATAAGTTAGGGCAATGTATTTTGTGTGCAAATATTGGTACACTCGCTATAATTAATTAATGTTCTCATTTTATACCAGGTTAATAATTCTTTAACTATTAAACTTATTATAGAAAACCCTGTTGATTTTTAAATAAATTCAAGAGAGCACAGAATATTCATATAATTATACTTTTAATTAATTTTATAGTTTATTTAGAATATTAATTTTCAAATTATATTTATTACATATAATATATGAATTGAAATTATAATTTCATTAAAATAAATAAATAATTTAAATTAAAAACATTTGAATAAAAAATTTATTTGCAATCTCCCACAACACCATTACTTATGATATGGGAGACTTGGTCACCGATAGCCGGTCCACCATCACAAGTATTGCCATTTAATCGCTTATCAATAACACTGAATTGCTTATCAATTTGGGAATTGAAATATCGGGAATACCTGTCCACCAATGCTATGAAAGACACGAATAACAACAAACAGATTCCTACATAAATGGACTCAAACATCAACACAACCCACGAATATCTCTCCACAAAAACGCCTAAAATATACGGATTTAACAAATTTATTACTTCTGAAGAAAATATAGCGATCGCACCGATAGGGTTAGTGATGGACAGGTACTGTTCCAGGTATGCGAACATTGCCGGACACATGGCTGACAGTCCCAATCCTGTCAAAATAGTAGACACCCACAGCACCGATAGGTTATATTGACCCACATACAGGGTAATAGCGGCAATAATTAGTACAACAAAGTGATAGCCAATCATTTGTTTGGGACTATATCTTAGGGCTGTTAGTACACTGAGTCCACGGCCTATAGTGAACGCTATGGCCACAGCTGAGAGTAACTGTGCCGACTCCTGGGCCGTTAGTTTTAGGGGACAGTACTGGAAATATGTGGCACCGAATGATAGTATAGTAGCTTCGGCTACACAGTAGGTGGACAGCCATACGCAGAATAGGAGTATCGCTCGCTTGCGGGGAAAGCCATCCCTGTCAAACAGCTTAGGCGCCGGTGTGTTATCGGTGACTGACATAGAGTTGGAGTTAATTATTAGTTGTGGAGGCTTATAGCGTTTCCATACGAACATCGCAAACAATGCTACCGGCGCTTCAATTATGAGATAAATTTTAATTATGATAAATATTGGTCAAAAATTTCAGGGTAATTTTTATGTCCATAATCATGGGTTAAAATTTGTTAAAAATTAAAAAAAATATTAATATCTAATACTGTATGAATACTATTATACACTATCAATAAGTTATTGACAATAACAAATGTAAGTTGCTTATTTTAATCACTATATTATTATCTGTTACTGATTCTTATTTATAGTTGAGAAATATTTTATCAAAATGTTTATACAATATTATATTATTGATTAACATTTATAACTATAATAATACTGACCCTGTAATCAATTCAGTAGTAAATTAAAATTAAATCTATTATTAAAATACTCACACAATAACTGAATGAATGCATTGATTTGAAAGGGGATTATAAGTTCCGCCCGTCGGTCAACACTACTCTCCACCCAAACCTCTGTCTCATTAGTATAATTGCCAATGGATTGACTACCGGTGCTCGAGTTGCTGTGTATTTCCCCGATTAAATGACTCTTAAGTATGAGCGGGGATATGATATTCCCGACGCCAAACCCGCAGTGCAACAGCTGTAGTAACGGTGCCGACCGGTGCCCCCAGAGCTCAATCATCCATACATTACACATACTGTTCCACACACTGGCGCCCATTCCCACCAAAAATGCACACGTGTATAGTGCCGAGAGGTCAGGGGATAGGGGTGTGAGGGCTGACCCGATGCTCATAAATGCCAGGAATATAATGGCTGTTAACTGACGGTTCAGGTATTCGTATAGATATCCGACTGGAAAGGTATGTAATTTATTGTGAGTATTACCGTAATTATAATGAATCACAAAAAATAAAATCTAAATAATACAATGATACAATAAGCTATGTACTCTAAGTACTAAGGATAATCCAAATGATTTTCACTCACATACAGTTCCCGTCATATACCCGGCCGATAGGAAAGTGGTGTAAAGCGATACATAGCGTATGGACGTGTGGAGAATGTACTTCATATCGACCATAACGGGCGCATACATTGTCATGGTCATTCCCTGTCAAAATAACCCCGATATAAAGTTTGGTCTCTTTAGTTATTATAAAATATTTACAAATGCAATGTGTGTGTACACAAAGATCAGGGTATAAACATATTTATCCCATTTCTGGCGTAACTTTGTGGTAACAAGTCTTGTGGACTCATTCCTCACCGGTTTCTCAGACATATTATGTGATTGCATAATGTCTATTGAATTCAAAATTATTATTTCAGAAATTTAAAATTACAATTACAATTAATATTTACTTTTTAGCTTTTAAATACATGTACTCTAGTAATATTATATTTACTTTAAATAGTTAAAACTTTTTTAAGCTATTTTATCAATAGTTATCTTATGATCACATCAATTGATATTAAAAAATATAATAATTGTATGTTTGCTCAGTCACTGAATGAAAACTGAAGTTAGTATTTGAAATAAAATAATTTAAAACGTTAAATTAAAATTTAGTTTATAAATGAATAGTACCTAAAATTAATAGCTAAAACATAATTTAATGTATTGAATTTATATATTTCATAATTACATATTAGTTTAAAACATAATTAATTAAATATTTCCAAATATATTGCACAATTTTTAAACTTATTATGCAATTATATCGGTATATCATATTTTCTAATAAATGTGTTTATATTACAATTAATTTTGCCAAATAGAAATAATGATTTTAATGTATATATAATCATAAATGTTTTTCAATGTTTTTCAATAATTAATTTTAATTATAAGATAAATGAATGGAAAGTATTTAAAATCATTAAAAAGCGAATTAAGCTTAAAAAGGGGATGTGCCGGGTATTTAACCAGGGTCTCCTGATTACACCCCCACACATCCTAAATATTATTACAGATATAATTGTTTTATAAAATATATTCATTTGAATTTGTAGAAAATATGTCTCAAACATGTTCAATTAAAAAATGCTACCAGTTAACATTTATAACATACTGTATATTCTTAAAGTCTGAGTTAACAAACATTTATTTTAATATTTATTAAAATCTATTTTCTCATTTTATATGTACAATGAAAATAAATTATAAACACAACTGAATAAATAAATAAATACATTATTATAAATTAAAAATAAAATTAATTAAATTACATTACATTCCATCGCATCACCATTACTGAGGGTATGGGAGATATGTACACCAATTGTGGGTTAGAATTGAATTTCAAATAATTTTTACAACTAAAAGTTCTTTACTGAACTGACTTTACTGACTAAAAGTTTTGAATATCTGTCCACTAATACTATGAACGACACGAATAGTAACAAACAGGTGCCGACATAAATGGACTCAAACATCAACACAACCCACGAATATCTCTCCACAAAAACGCCTAAAATATACGGATTTAACAAATTTATTGCTTCTGAAGAAAATATAGCGATCGCACCGATAGGGTTAGTGATGGACAGGTACTGTCCCAGGTATGCAAACATTGCCGGAAACATGGCTGAAAATCCAAGTCCTGCCATTATAGTGGACACCCACAGCACCGTTAGGTTGTATTGACCCACATATAGGGTAATAGTGGCGATGATTAGTATAGCAAAGTGATAGCCAATCATTTGTTGCGGTTTGAATCGTAGGGCCAATAGGGCACTAAGACCACGGCCCGCAGTGAACGCCATGGCCACTGTTGAGAGTAACTGTGCCGACTCTTGGGCCGTTAGCTTTAGGGGACAGTACTGGAAATATGTGGCACCGAATGATAGTATAGTAGTCTCGGATACTAAATAAACGGATAGCCAGACACAGAATAGGAGTATAGCACGTTGGCGGGGAAAGCCTTCTCTATCAAACATCTTTAGCTCAGGCATGTCATCGGTAGCTAACTTGAAGTCGGCGTGTTGTATATAATGTTGAGGTTCATAGCGTTTCCATATAAACATCACAACCAGGGCTACCGGCGCTGAAAATAAAGAATATGGGAATCAATTTTGCATTGAATTTGAATCAAAATTAAGTTCTTATTTATCATGGACATTTACATTCACATAAACATGTATGATTCCTTATCACTAATTTTATTAATGTTAATAACACTTAAATAATATTTAAATAACTGACTAAATACTCACACAATATCTGAATGAATGCATTGATTTGAAAGGGGATTATAAGTCCCGCCCGTCGGTCAACACTACTCTCCACCAAAACGTCCGTCTCATTAGTATAATCGCCAATAGATTGACTACCGGTGCTCGAGTTTCTGTGTATTTCCCCGATTAAATGACTCTTAAGTATGAGCGGGGATATGATATTTCCGACGCCAAACCCGCAGTGCAACAGCTGTAGTAACGGTGCCGACCGGTGCCCCCAGATCTCAATCATCCATACATTACATATACCGTTCCACACACCAGCACCCAGTCCCACGAAAAAGGCATACGTATATAGTGTCCACAATTCAGGGGACAGTGGTGTAAGGGCTGTGCAAACACCCATAAATGCTAGGAATATAGCGGCCGTTAACTGACGGTTAAGGAAGTGGTATAGATGTCCGACTGGACAGGTATGCAATTAATAGTGATTAGAATCTAACTAAATATTTAACTAAATATTACCATGCTAGTTTTGCTTTGAAAAGAGTCATTAAAATACTATTGCATTTCAGTAATAATGTCTACATTATGTGCTTGATGAAGTTATAAATGTTAATGATATACTTGCATACTGTTCCCAACATAAGACCGGCCGAATAGAAAGTGGTGTAAAGCGATACATAGCGTATGGATGTGTGGAGAATGTACTTCATGTCCACCATTACCGGTGCAAACATTGTTGCTGTCATTGCCTATTAGTATAACCCCGGTTAATTATAACTTGTAATTAATTTGATAATAAATACATTTATATTTGGTGTAAATTACTTACAAAGGCAATGTGTGTGTAAATCATGATCAAGGTGTAAACGTATTTATGCCATTTTACACGCAACGTCGTGATGGTAAGTCGTGTTAATTCATTTGGCACCGGTATCTCAGGCGCAGGGTTTGAAAGCATAGTTTCTATGGTTTTAAAATTAAACTTACAATTAAAATTAAAATTATTGTTAATATTTTACAAATCATTGCACTAATAGACATAATTTAAAGCATTGAATAAGTATATTTTATAATTACAAATTAATCTGGCACAATTATAACGTAAAATATTTATCAATCTACAATCTAGATACTTTGTATAAAATAATAGCTCGTTGATTTGTGAATAAGTATACTGAATTTATATTTCAATTAAAACATACCTAAAATGTATCAATGTAATGTATGAACAGTGTTTATTTGTTTTAAATAATCACAATAAATTTATAATTATATATAAGTTAATCATAAATTTTATTTGTAAAATAATGGAGTCATAAAATATATTCATTGGAAAAAATGTGTCAACAAATATTATATGTCTAAAAACATATTCATGTTATTATTTAAATTTTATAACAATTTAAAATGACATTTTAACCATATGTTTAATAATTGAAAAATAAAATAAAAGGTAAGTTAACTAATCCTAACATTGATATTGAAATTCACATGTCGTTTAATAAGTACAATCAGTATAGCCAGATTAACTACTAATTTATTTAAATTTTAAAAAATGTATTATTAACCAAATTTTAAATA